CCCCCCCCCCTGTGACGATCACTTACCTCATTTCGAATTTAATGGAGCACTAGAGCCCGTAAATAGCTCGAGCCCGTCAGAGGATCGTCGTAGAGTCCGAGCACACTCGTGAGAGCTACGCTAGATAGCAATAAGATTCGACGTCGTTGCAACTTGTAAATAGTAGGACAAATTTATTTATATCAATTCCCTTAGTTATAAATAAAATCGAATCTGTTTCTTCGGTAAAGAGTAACGAAACACGCGAGCAGAAGATATTCGAGCAACATTGTGACGATATTAATAAACACACGCACACACTTATCGAAAGGTGTCTGTTATTGGATCGCGCTACCAACTTCTCTCTTCTGATTCACTTATTTGCTTCTCTATCTGATCATTTTATCTTTGTTATCTCTACTGCACTGATCATTCAGATGTATCACCATCATCGTCATCATCGTCCCCTCTATCTGTCGTCCCTGTGGATTTCATTTCTTCGTTCTATCTCCCGAGCTCATCGATATTTATTGACAATTTCCTGTGGACGAGCTGCTGATCGAGCAACGAGATACGTAATCGTGACGTAATCGCGATTGAATTCTCGATATCTCGCAGCGAAGAAGAGTTGAGATCAAGCGAATTGTTAAGTGATGAGAGAGCACGTGTGCGGTGGCGTCGTGCGCGTTACGACGGTTTGCGATTTAGTTTAAGCCACCAGCAGTACGATTTTTGTGAACGTACGATTTTTTACGATATCACAAACTCGCGACTTCTCGATCGTGAGGAAAGTTCGAAACAAGAGCGCCTTAGGCTACTCCCGGCTTCTCCCGATTCGGATTCCTTCTCCCCTGATTTTTCTTTTACTTTTTTTCACTCGTAGAAAATCTCACGTGGCATCAAGAATCGTACGCGGGTTAAATTAGCGAGCGTTCTCCCCGGAGGGCGCGGCTCGCGTTCTCGATGGCAACGAGTAAAGCAAAGGCGTATTGCTGGTGGTTCATTGCAGGTATGAGAGTTGGCGCGGCTTTTACAAGGGATTAAGCGTAAACCTCACCAGAGTGACTCCGGCGACTGTTATTACATTCGTGGTCTACGAAAACGTAACGCATTATCTGCGAGGCAGAGGCGCCGCTGCGGAAGAAGCCGTGTCTGCGCCTGCGGACGGCCAGCCGAAGGAGTACCTTAATGTCCCATCGCGCGCCCGCGCGTGAAACAACACGGATCACGCATTCGCGTCTTCGAAACTCCCTTCACACACACACACACACACACACACACACACAATCTCTTTCTCCCACTTTCTCTAGATTATACAATAATCGTGCGATCACACCGCGGGAGACCAAGAAGGAAGATTTCGAGCGCGAACTTCGGAAGATGCGAAGATTCCAGTTCACCGGAGTTGTTTTATTCTCCGGCGAATCGTTCAGGCCGTGTTAACAATCGTTACTTGAAGTTTGGCTCGAGCGAGGGATCAGAGAGACTTTATTCAGGGGATTTCGAGTCAACGAGCTTTTCCGCAATCGCGAGATTCAGGTCATCTACGTGTCTCAAATTTCAAGTAACGATTATTAATACATCGAGGTTCTTCATTTCGTAGTTTCAACGTAAATTGATGATGCAAACATTGTCTTTCTATTCATGGTCAGTCGTTAAACCGGTGGTTTTGTAGTGGTGACTTTTAAAATTTAGCGATTAATCAGAAAAGCATGATTTTCACGTTATCATCATGTTAAGCCTTGTCATCATGTTAAGCACAAGTTAAGCGGAAAATGAAGAACCGGGCCTGAATGAAAAAAGTGCTATGGTCGAGTAAATATTTGCTGAGGAGTAATTATTTTACTCGGATTAAGCAAGTTTGCTTGAATTGAATGTAGCGCCTTTTTCCTTTCGATGTGCTACATTCAAGTAATATTTATTTCATCGAAATAAAATAATTCATGCTCCTTGGCGAGTATTTACTTAAATGTAGCATATTTTTCTTTCAATACGCAGACCTTAAGGCTCGTCTACGATGCTGTGGCAAGACCGTACCGTCGTAGTCGTTCAAATCGGCCCGTTTCCAGTTCCAGCGACGGATTGGTCCTGGATTGGAAGTGGACCGACTCGAAGGACTGCAACCATATGATCCTGCGACCGCGTTGTAGACCCCGCTTTAGTTTCACGCTTAACTGACGCGGCAGTCGCGAAACCATGTTGCTCTCCAAGTATCTCTGAGCGAAGTCTCGCCCAGAAAACGAGTGAAAATTCGCCGGAAGCGATGGTGAAGAAGGCACCGCCGACGGGAATCGGCAGAGTGAACGCTTCAGCATAGAGCGGATTCTGACACTACGAGCGAATGTTTCACAGTCGAATAGACCGGATTTGTTCCGGTGTGACGGCTGAATACATCAGATTCGCTCTTCAATCTCGAGTGAAAAAATTCCTTCGACGGCTCAGAGCGCGGAATTTGCTCTATGCGAACGGAAGATCATTGGAGGTCGAGTATCGACTCTTCGGGTGAAATTTCATTCCGAGAAATTTGGCGAGTGCTACCGTTATTAATCGAATTGCCGTTATTAGTCGCTCCTGTCTGCTTGGGTCACGCGTGAGCGTTGCGAGGCTTGTAGTTCTCTCTGTGTGCAGATTTGAACGTAAACTCTGCGGAAGGGGATACGAACATGTTACAAATCAGTATTCCGTAAGATATTGCTTCGTATTAGCGCTCATTAGAGAGTTCCAACCGAGACCTTGCACATTTAATTAGACAGTTTAGCGACAGCCGATCGGTTAAGTGTTGAGTTCGCTTGTTTCCCCGACGATTCCCGAAAGACGAGCGTTAGTTTTTCTCACGTTTTCAAGTTTCGTTCTCGTTTGCGTACAGTCCTTTAATTAAGAAGGAAGGATTCTATCCATGCGCGTTCTCGTACATTTGATTAAGCAATTGCATAGAAGCGTCTTTATTAACGCCCGTTAATTATGCGTTTGACATCGTAGTTTCGCGATCAAATACGCGTTAGTTTTTGTTTATTTTTTACGTTTTGTTTACATTTTGTATACGCTTGCGGGACGCTTCGAATGCACTTTCTTTCTCCTGACGAAAAAGGCCGCAACTTTTTAGCCACTGTTCACGGGCTTGCACGGTGATTGGATTACGGCAGGGGCCGAAACGACAGTGTAAATGTTGGTCCTTTACACTTCTCGTTTGATAGATCAAAATAGAATGAAATAAAGCAACGTTTTTTCCCCCTGAAATCTCCGTTGCAGTTGTGCACGTCGGTGTTTCCCGTATTGTCACAACGAATCACCATGCAGCTCTTGTGACAATTTGATGCGTTCCTAACATCGCTGGAAAGAATGTGTTCCCGTCGCTTCGCAAGCGAGTGTGTTGTTCTTCATTGTTGTAGGGCTCATAGCAGATTTGGTAGAATTTTATGTGTTTCCTTTGATTTAATTACGTAGGTCGATCTATAAATAATACGATATTCATATCTGCCGATTTCCAATACACACAGATATTCCCGGTGCGATACGCGTAATGCGCATAAATGTTGAATTTATCAATTATGGGAGGAAAGCCGTTTAGGTAGCGCCGACGTGACTGCTCACCAGGTCGAAAGGATTCACGGGACACTTCTTGTAACGTCGATCGCAATGCTGCTCACGTTCGGCTTCCACAATTTCATCCGGGAGATTTTCGTTCCTCGAGCTGGAGGGTCTGTGATAAAGATATGAAGACGGGTTACGTCTTAATTCGATGTTTACTCGCGGAGATATTCGACGTTTTAAGCCACGATGCAGCGGTAAATAACAATTTGACGCTTTTCTTCATACTTTCGCGAGCCAAGAGTCGAATGTCTATGTCATATTCGTCGAAAGTCGGTTCGCCAAAAAACGGCTCGCCACTCTTGAATCCGGGAACCGGCACGGAAATAACTCTCTCTGTCGCGAAGATGCGGCGATTATCCGTGAAATTACAGATCTTGTGGATCCGTGAGGAAATTCGGCACGCTTTTGCGTAAGATTTCCGTTGTACCCGTCGTTTGTATCGTGCGTCTCCGAGATTCGTTCGAGCGTACGAATGAGAATAAAGATAGATTGACACGTTATTGCAAATTTCATTTCCCGAATCGCCTGTTCGCACAGCTGTCGACGCGCACAGAACCGCAGGGGAAAATATTATAGCTAAAAACTAGCTCTCACGGCTAAAAATTAAGCTGCCACGGGTAAAAATTAGCTGTCCTTACAGCTGAAATTTAACTAATTTAGCTAATTCTTTTTATCCCTGCACTTAGTTTTTAACTCCCACGGCTAAGGTCTGGAAACTAAATTTCAGTTGATTTATACGGACAGCTAATTCCTTTTTTCCATGCGGTTGTGCAATCACACAGCTCCTTCGGTACTTACGTGAATACAATCTGCAGGATATCACCGAGCACTCCGTTTTCGCTTAGGGGATATTTCGCGGCCTCGCAAATTGTTCTCAGCAAACAATCCAGCCCGGGGTAGCCCAGGCTTGTGTGCAAAGCACGCGTATGAAATTATAATGCACAGTTACAGCGTCTTGAGTCATATGATAAATTAGATTTTAGAGCCGTGATTATATCCTTGTTATTACAAAAAGGAAGAGAATCGGAAGTTTTCCAGTGAAAATCTTCGATAATTATAATTGAGACGCGAGATAAGTATACGCAGATTCGCTACCTTTCCAGTTTCTGTACAGACGCTTCATACACTAATCGACGGTCGAGGTTTCGCTTCGCGTAATAATTTTCCCCGTAAAACTGACTCGCCTCCCACGGTAATCCGTAATTCGCCTCGAAGTAAAGCGACACCGCGATCGATTTGCCAGGAATGTCCACCGGGATTGCGACGGCGAAGAGTATCTGCAAATGTAAATACGTAAAAATACACTCTCTCAATCTCCCATCCCTGCACATTCTATCTTGATTTTATTTTTATTTTAATAAACGGTGTATCAATGATTAATGTAATTAATTTGCCAACCGCAGATGGAATACGGATGCGATAAGCGAATATTAAATAATCTAATAAAGTTTTGTTCTCCGTTATTTTATATTTTCGAGAATCGGCGAAATAAAGTATAATCATCCGACCGGGATAATAACCGACGTACAGCATACTTTATTACGTCACATTATATTTGGTATTTATCGGCCCGATCCGGTCCGAATCGGTCATTATTCGGGAAATACGCGACGCACGAGAATCTTTAAACCTCAAAAGAGAAACTATTTCGCCGTTATTGCTTGTTAACAAACTAAAGATAATTATCGCTCAACTCAAATTAAATTAATCGATGAATAATAATAAAAATTACCAACACCAATTTCCAGTCATGTGATTCGCCGTTCAACAATAATTCGAAACTTAATTTCTATGTTGACGAGATAAGGCAGATAATATAGATGACGTTTTAAATCGTTTAGCCAGATTAACCAGATTTCGGCGAAAATCGCCCCCAGTCGTCTCGAAGGTCGAGAGCGTCGCCAGACGGTTGATTGTAATTTCTCGATCACCGTATGCGCGCGTCGCTGATTGGTGGACGGCGAGAAGTGGCGATAGGCGCGGGGATAACTTACCGGTTTTCTTTACCATTTTGGGGAATTCTCGTGCGTTGCGGTCTCCCCCGTGAGCGAATCATCAGTCTTCGTTTTAGCTGAACTAGTGCTGCACTGGAACTTCGTTTCTTTCCTTTTCAACGTTAAATTCACTTTAAAGACAAAGAGTGCAACCTAGTTCGGCTAAGGAAAAACAAAACTTTTCGCGTTCCGAGTCGACGAACGACGCGGCAGAATAGTATTTGGTGAGTTGGCAATCGTTATTCGTCGAACAATTAACCACTTTACCGCCATTATATTCGGTTTCAATACAGTCGGAACACTTCTCTCCGTTCGAGATGCCGTTCGGAATACAGTTGATCTCTAATGAGGGATCTTCACTTTTGGGAATTATTCGAAAACAAACGTTCCGTTGGGACGTCGGCTACGTTCCAAGCTACGTCGAGAAGAAAGAGTTCAAACTGGATTGACAGATCAAGTGTACAAAGCTCGTATAATAGGGGGGCCCGGTCGATCGGGTTAAGGTATTTCGTCGATTCTCGAGACAGTTCACCGGGCTCTCGTCGACATTGCGTTCCTCCGATCGAATCGTACCTATGCGAGTGTTAGTATTAATGCCACTGCCAATGTCATCTGGAGTATCTGAAGTTGCCAAGAGCGGTCAGCCGAGTCAGGAAGCCGCGACGGAGGACGCAGAACGCCGGAACGAGGTTAGTGATGTATTAAGTGTTTCAGATATGCCGAATTATTGGTTATTTCGGATGTTTTCGTTTACAAGGGGAACTTGGACGAACTTATTGGAAAATAAGATATTCCCGAGTCGAAATTTAGATTCCAACGTGAGTCTCGCGAATATTGATTTGTGCTTCTAATGTCTGTTTCTATTAACATCAATTAAACTTTAGCTTTAACCTAAGTTCAAGTGTTTGAAAAGTTTAGTTTAAATCAGAAGTTTAGATTTAATTGATGTTGGTAGAAACGGTTAAGTCGGTATTCACGCATGTAAATTATTTACAATGTTTGATTGAGATTTCAGAACATTAATTACAAATTCGTGCAATCAAATTCATATACGAGGCTATAATTATTTATGTAATTTATTTATGTATTATTATGTATGTATTAATTTATTTATGTAATAATAACAATAGACTATGAAACCAGCTTAACTCTTGCAATTGCTGAGAATTTTATCTTCAATAATACATAATATGTTCTTTTAAAAGCATTAATTATATAATTATTTCTTTTTCCTCCCTTCGGATTTCTAAATTCAATTAAAATCTTTAATTCGGAAAAAAACAATTAATAAGACAAAAAATAAAATGTAATTTGATGTATTTTTCTTCTTTCGTTACCTGTTTTTATTAGACTGTTTATCACATTGAATACCAAACGGTCACCGGTGGCCGACACTGTGGCATCATTACGTACAAAGTGTAATTAATTGCTTTTGAAAAATCAATAGTACAGCCAACAGAGAGAGCTGTTGAAACAAGGCAAAAGATATACTATGTCTCGAATTATATTTACTCGTCGTATCTTTGATAATGCGGTCCGTCAGTTAAGCTCTTGCACAATCAATGCGACAGTCAACATGTTAATATCCTTTCTTCTTTATCGTACATATATAAAATATGTATATTAATATGTATATTACACTAAATAATTGCGTATATTCATTTTCTCCATCAAAGTGTTTATACAACATAAAGTCCCTGAAGTCTTTCTAGACGTTCTTAATTATTTAATTATTTTAATTATTTACGCTGGCGATCTGTACTTAAAAAAAAAACCCGTATTTAAAAAAATTTCGCTATTTCGTTTTGAAATATTTTTATTCAGACTTTGTACACAAATTTTCCGTTATTACTCTCGAAATATTATTATTGAACATCTTAATAGTCTGATCTCACGAGCTTCTTGAAATAGTAAGCACAAGATACCCGGTACGTCGTTTTTATTGTTGTTGTCTGACCTGGAGAAGCTATCACGCGTTGTTGTCTCAGTTAAATCTCCAGATGAACAAAACGATACGGTAGGTGCCGATCTGTATGATATTACATCTTGAAATTTCACATTAGTCTTTCGAGTTTGAGAATTTGCAGGCTCAATGTAGAGAACTCAAATTTCGACTCGAGTAGTACCCAGCGAAAAAATCGACTTCCGTACAAATCGTACAGTTTATAATAAAAAATATATATCCGATCGATATAAATTTGTTATGTTTGTGCGAGAGGTATTTACGAGCGTTAGAATTTGGTAGGCAGCGCGAATAAGATGTAGTTAAGTTTTTTATTGCGATATCTTCCGAAGTGAAATAAGAAGACGTTTTCCTCAATACGGGTTTAATGCGATTAGCATTTTTTTTTAATTTCTCGATTCGCGAATCACGCCACACGAATGTACGCGTGTGTATTGAAAGGGCAAATACGATTTGTATCTATTTATATCAACTTAACACGCTTGCTCGCAATTCGAGACGCATTAGCAGACGAAAAATGAATGATTGATCCATCATACCCCCGTATTGCTGACCTTGGGGAATCCGAGAGATCGCATGTGTCTCGATACGCCGTGTGTAATATTTTTTACGCCCGATACATGCGTGGACTTCGTGAGGTACCACAGCGAGAAAACCAACATCGTGATTCGATGTCTGAAAAAGATTCCAAATTTGCGCGTGCACACATTATTATTATCACACTGTGTTGGATTTGTGAAAAATTCCCACACGTTCTCTGAACCGTAAATACTTGTGAATTTCTTTCATATTCAGATATTCGACACGTTGAATGCCGTGACGGTTAACGTTGGCCGATATTATGACCGTTACCGTGTTTCATTTAAATTACCTGCAAAGCGTAATGAATTGCATTTGACAAATCGGGTATACGGCCAACGGAGAGCTAATGGAATGAGATAAAAAATATATTCGCCTCGAATTACATTTATTCATCGTTATCTTTGGCAATTCAATCATTAACTTGTACGGTCGACGGAAATCAACTCGACAGTCAACGCGTGTCAACCCTTTTAAGTCGGTTTTTTCATTTGTAAATGACAGGAAGTTCTGACGTAAAAATTATTTATTGCAACAGAAGTAAATAAATTACTGGAATTAATCAAATCATTGAATAACTAAATTAGTAAAAGATATATTTTTTATACACATATGTGTAGTATAATTATATTAACAATTATTTTAATAATTACATTTTCACTATAAATTGGGCTCATATATCCCGTCAAAAGAGGAAATACCAATAAGTAGGACGTGTAATTCTATTAAAGGCCGTCTAGAATAGCAATAGAAAATAGTAAGACGTAAGAAGTAAGCTAATTGATCGACCATAATCGATTATTTTTCGACCGTAAGGATCCAATCAATTAGCTTACTCTCTACGTCATTACTACATACTCTTACGGCTACTGTAGAACGGACTTTACAGTCAAAGAATGATCGACCGTGATTCGTCACTTAGCTCACTGTTTGTTTTACCACTATTATTATAGACGGTCCTTTAGACTCGAGACAGTTAATGCGTTATTTGCATGGTTATTAATTTCTTTCTGATTAACATTGCGAAAAACATTATTACACAAAAACTACACGTAACAAAGTTAGTTGACGATCCAACGGTCGATTTTATTTGCACAATGAAACGAATTTGCAACAACGTCCAGCAAGTGCTTCAGCTGAAACGACACACATCGCTCTTTACCGCGGTGTATCACGTTCTGTATACGCGCATGTTTTGACCTACAAAAACAACGAAACGCCAACAATAGCTCGCGGGAGAAAAACCGCGCGTAATAGCGGCACTTAAATTCCCGCGTGTCCTTGCCAAGTATATAGACCTGCGATATACCGGAATAAAGCCGAATAATATTTTTCCAATTTCACGGAGCGTTCTCACGGCACCTCCTTGCGGGTATTCTTTTTGCGAGACTCGGGCGGCACGCGAACTTTAAACTTACGTTATATTTCGAAGTAATACCGCTCGAGGGACAACTACCGCGTGTCCATCAGACTCTCGACACCCTCAGTTTTCCAACAAGCCCTCCCCCGAGCCGCTGTGACTCCTGGAAACGAGAATATCGACGACCNCCCCCCCCCTTATTTTGTATCACCACGCGATGTTTTGTTTACATTCATGTAACATGGCCTTGTTCCCAACTTTCGCCCTGTCGGTTGGCCGCTGATCACGCGGTGACTTCACGAGTTTCTCAGGAATGTTCGTTAAGGCGTACGTTCAGCAGTTTAAGGCCATGGTATACAGAAAATAATCGAAGAAGTAAGATTTAAGCAGTAAAGAAAATTGACCAGTCACAATCGGTTATTCTTCGATCGTAGGGAGAATAAGGGCTTTGGCATAGGAATTGACGTAACTGCAAACATGAGACGT